AGGAGCAATCCTTGGCGAGAGGAGGTACCCTCGCTCTCCCAGTTGTCACACAGCTTAACACTACTTCTTCCAGGAATGCTTGCTAAGCAGGCTAATATTTTTGTAATAGCCATCTAATTTCTGTATCTAAAGTGTCACAATTTGATGAAATCTAAAAGTACACATAATTTATGTAAATGTTTTGAATAATTTATAATGAATTATCAATTTATCTAGATAATATTAGGCTGATGAAAACATGGAAGAGAATCACAGAATTGTAATTTAAGAGGCAGCTCAAACTTTGGGAAAGTTGAAAAAAGAGAAGTATTAGATGGCAATATATCTCTGATCTCATGGTAGACACATTGATGAATGCCCCACAAACATGATCAAGGCTGGTGTAAAAAGAACAAGACATGATCACAAACCTGGTCTTCTTGTTTTTTGTCTTCTTCTCGCTGTAACATTAAACAGTGAGACAAGTGTTAATCCTATACACATGCAATTATCATGACCAATTGACCGACCGACCGACGGACCAACCGACCAAGTAAGTAACACAAAGGGCAATCTGATTACATTGGTAAGGGATAAATTATTTCCATATTTCCGATCATTCAGTGTTACACTTTCATCAAGATCCATTTTCTAGACACTGTTGATCTGCAATTTACCACATGTAAGACTGCTAAAGGTGCAATTAAAAAATTTCAGAGTTTGGCAGTATACCTTTTTGTTTACCTGTATAACAATCAAATGCCTACATATATTTTAAGGGTTAAGTTTTATGAAAGGATGACAAAATTTGGAATTATTTAAGCAACAGACTTGCTTGTACAAAATGTGACAAGATAGGTTGACTCATCTTCAGTATTCTCACCTAAAAAACTTAGAGAGACCATGTTCAGCTACTTGTGCCTTTTTTTGAATAAGGAATTGCATAATATTAGGCACATCACTGACAAAAACACCTGTGCAAAATTATCTTAAAGAAACATGCAATATTTGCTAGTTATTATTCACAAAACCTTATTGATCTATTAGGGAATAACATGCAATGCTATCTGGTTAAGATAAATGTTATTATTGATATAAACTTTGACCAATTCCTAATAAACAGCAACGTTCATCCAGCGGTGATGTTGTTGTCACGAGGAAATTGATTAATCTGCTTATTTATGCACGATGATTACGATCAAAGTAATCTTACAGCACTTCTTACAACATTCTCCTGCCGAAAGAATCAGTCTCACATACGTAGCATAGCCTTCAGAGTTCCTAATGCGTGTACACTGTACGTATTTCGATTTCAGCATCATAATCACCGCTTCGTCTCGCAGATTGCAAATAATTGAACAAAGTGACGATGCATAATTTCAGAATCGCCAACGGATAAGATTAATCCCATAAAAGCCATTATGCTTGTACATTAATTTTCAAACAATGGAGATCTTATAAGCTTATATTTTTTCGACAGCATTAATTTTGGCATTTCTGTGGGTACGGGCAAACCACAAGCGCAGCGAGTGATCGCTAAATAACAGTTTTTCGAGATAAAGATAATCAAACCTCAAGCACTTGTGGAAAAAAAAACTATAGAAATCGTTCGTCGCTGCCAATTTTGCATGACAGCTTTTAAAAGTTTAATTTCATGCTGAAAAAAAAAAGACGAGAAAACAAAGTTCCGAAAGCGTTACACATGCATTGCATATCGGCTATTTTAGACAATGCTTCAAAAGCAGTCTTGCCAAGGAAGATCTTGCTGTCTTGCATATATGAAAGAGAACTGATGCTACTGCAACGACAATTCTGAAACAAAACGTTACAATCTCGTGACTAAGCCATAGAGCACTGCACCTTCATTCCATCTAAAAAATCTTCACTTGATCCATTCACTGCAAAGCCTTCTTTTGCACGTCTTCTTGTAGCACCCGGTTCCGTTGACATCTCCCAAGGAGAACACCTCCTTCAGCGTCGAATTTTCAGCTCGTCGAGGTCGTACTTTCACCACAAGTGCAAGAAAAACTGATCTATACACCGTGAACTTTAGACCGTTTGGTGTTTTGATCAGTTGTAATGGCGGAGTACACGGGTCGCAGAGCACACCGGGACAACAAGGCTTGCCTTGCCCGAGGTCATTCCTTTGACCAGGAAACTGGCTCGGGTGCAACCTCGTTAGACC